CACCCATCACCCATGTCTCTGTCTCTATTGGCAGCCTGTTGGTGAGCCCTAGATAAATGTATTCAAATATCTCTGAGATAGCTCACCTGGGTAATTGTAAGTAACTATGGATGTATAATGTCTAATAACATTCATTTTCCCCTTCCTTTAGAATCAAGCCTACACCAAATACTAGCAAAAACTAGCAAAATGTGTGCATTTTTCCTTCTCCCTCTTTTTTATTCTCTATGTGCAATTCTGTACTAACTTTTTGTCTTGTTCTTACTGTTCCCATAACCCATGGATCTTGAACTCTTTTGTTGTATCTCTACCTTTCACATCTGCAACCCTATTATTCCATTTCCTTCATTGCTTCTTGCACAAGCCTACTCTAACTTTTTCCTGCATATATTTCCTGTCTCTGTGCTTGTTTCTCTGTCTCCAGTGAGTCTTTTAAGTGGCTCTCCAAGTGATCATTTCAAACCTGCAATTCTGTCCAAGTGAGTCCTCAATGAAGACACTTCAGTGGTTTTTGATACCTTTAAGAGCAAATACTACTGTAATGTGCATTAAAGTGGATATAGTAAATAATAGTAGGAAGTCAGTAAAAGAGTGAATCATAAAATTGCTCATCATAAGAAAAAATACTGTAACTATGTGTGGTGATGGATGATAACTAGACAAATTGTGCTGATCATTTCACAGTGAATATAACCATCAGATAATTATGTTGTACACCTGAAACTGTTATAACATTTTGCATTTGTTATATATCTCAATTAAAAAGAAAACAAGAACAAATAAACCTAATCTCGGTATCAGAATGGAACCTCTCCATACTTCCTGTATTTATTTATTTTAAACATTTAGCATCACATTCTGACTATATTAAAATATGATTACTTAGGCCCACTAAGAACTTTCAAGCCTCAGAGCATGTAGAAATGTTTTCTCTGGGTAGAAGGGATGTGGATGGGAGAGGATTGCAGGGCAGAGGGGAATGAAGGGGGAAATGGGACAACTGTAACACATAGTCAATAAAATAGATTACATTTTTCCCTCAGACTATCTGTTTTGAAATAGTAGTTTCGTACTTCAAGATGCACCTCAAGTGCTCCTGGTGACCTAGTGACAGACTGCCCTTTTTCTCCTCAATCCCTAATAGGTTCTCCGCCATGGTATGGTCTGACAGAGTACTGAAATTATTGTTATTTAAGATCCTTATAAAATACAGTGTGATATTTTCTGATGCAAAGGAGATAAACTACCTGATTTAAAAATCCAGTTTCAGCATTTGAGTGTTGTGCCATGAGCAAGCTACTGAACCCTCCTGTGCCTCAGTTTTCCATGCAGAAAACTGGATTAGTAATGATGTTCTTCAAAGGGCCATTGTGAAGATAACACAGGTGATGCATGCGTAGAGGAAAACACTTTCTGCCCAAAGAAGCACTCAGTGAGGCTTACCTGCCATAACTGCATCTAGGGACCTTTGTATTAAATATATCCCACAATGCTTAGCCCCTTTTCAAACTTTAATACATCATCAATCAAAAATATGGTGAATAAACAGATGCTTCTGGAGGTAGGGTTTATATAAGTTTGTTTAGATTTTGCAATTTTAAACAATTTAAAGCTAAGAATTGCTGCCAATAGAGATTATCCAAAAATCACAACTCAACTTTCTGATTATTCTCTGAATATAAATTGAGGAGCATTTTCTTGATACATAGATTTGAGGTTATGACAATGTTAGAACTTCACAGACATGTACTCAGTTATACATGTTGGTGTAAAAACCCAGCTTAGATGTGTGTGCATGTGTGTGTTTGTGCAATGAATAACTCAGGCCTTATTGATGGAGACTGTGGGCAATTAAAAATGTGTGAATTAATTTTTCCCAAACTAACGTCTTTGTTACTATGCAATATGGTACCTTATACTTATGCAGATCTTGTATAAAATCCAACATGTTTATTAGAAGAAAGCATTGGCTTTGCCTCTGGACACTCTTGTGCTCTCCTTGTATATAAAATGAAGGACTATTCATTTTAAGCAATACCACTGTTTGGTCTTTCTGGAAAGGACATCAGCATTAACGTTTCTTCCTTTTGAACAATTGTTGAGATTAATGTCAACTACACCACTCAGAAACCTCCCACCCGATAAATTTCTACATGAATCTTTTTAATATTTGAACCTAGAGAACTGTATTTTTCCTCTCAATAAGTAAAGATCCAATGATGGGAACTATACAAATTAATGTTTTCCATAGATACTCTTGTTGCAGAGAAACAAAGTTAAATTTGAAGTTCAATTACAACAGTTTCACTGATCATTTTGTTGGCAATTTTGCACTTGCCTTTTTCTTTAGCTCTGTATTATATATTATTTATAATACTTGACTTTTCTTTTTTATAGACTATCTCAAAGCCTTTCTAGAAAAAGCAATAGCTTAAATATATGTCTATATGTTTACACTTACATATAATAGCTTGAATCTGTCCCCATGTTGTCATTCAGCTATCCCCACAACTAGAATCATTAAGACAGAGTTAATTAAACTTTAACTATGTCCCATGTGGAAAGGAGATTTTGGCAACTGCTGTTTCATTTGCATTAGAAACACACAGTGCCTGTGAACCATGGGTTTATATTATACCTTACAAATGCACAGCCAAGTGCCTGTGAAAATGTCTTAATTTTATAATACTTCAACCTCGTACCTCTTTCTTTTTAATCTGTTTAGAAATTCTAATTCATTTTTAAGTGAGTTGGACACATTTCATTCTATTTAGAGAGGTAGAATTCTGTAATACTTGCATAAGCAACTCCTAGTGCCATTTGCTTAATGTCCACTGGGAGGTAAAATACTCCTCTACTTAGGTAGGATCACTAAAAGTAGTTTCGTTAACTTTTCCACAAAACGTCAGCTTCCTTACTTCAAATTTCAGCTAAAGGCTATAGATGTGCTTCCACTGTGACCAGAGCACACCTTTCCCCTGACATTGGTCAGCAACCCTGAGTCCGAGTCCAACTCTGTCACAGGCGCAGCTGAGAGAGCCGCCACTTGTGAAGCAGGCAGCTTGAGAGCTATGCTGCCCCTTCATTCATCTGGGTTTTCAAAACTCAAACCTTATATTAAAGCAACTCACCAAAAACAAGTATACCAGTGCAACAAGAACCTATCTCACTGTAAAAATATTTTAGTGATTATTATATTCCATGATTGTATGGAGAAATCATGTAAGTAGAAGTAGTGTACAGTAACACCAGGGAACTTCCACGTTTGGAGTACTTTGTCAGGATTTGCTGAGATGGCTTTCATGCCCAGGCTAATCTGTGGGCCACAGGGTCATCTGGGTGGGCTGCCCCAGGCTGGACTGGAGCTGCTGGGGCCTCGGTGCCCATTTTTCCCATCAGCATCTAATAAGAAACTGACTTTCCACTCAGTTTCAGAGCTCACCCCATGCCCAATACTGGACTATGGAGCTGTTCCAGGGCCACGTGATCATCCCGATTCCTGGTAGGTGGGGGTCCTGGCAGGAACATGGCTTCTGCTTAATGGCACTGAAGATTTTTTACAGGATTACCAGAAACTGGCCTGCCAGCATGGTACTCAAATGCTGATTTGATCTGGCTCATATTTATCCATCAATCGATCAATCTACATCTAGACAGATATGGATGGGTACAGATTAATAGATATATAGATATAGACAGATATACTGATAAATAGATAAGTACCCCATATGAAATATTTGTCTTAGAACTCCTATACCTTAGAGCCACCCTGGCTATGTATTCACTTACAACAAAGGTTTCTATTGGAGGACCTCCTGCAATGTGTTATTCAATATTCCTTAAATACCTTTCAAAAAAATTCCAAAAATGTAGAGCAAAAAAATCAAGGTCTTCAATGGATTTTTTCTTTGACCTAACATTGAAATCCTAAGATGCATCATATTTCTCATTAGCGTAGGCTTCCGGAAGTTTCTGAGGACTTTAATGTGCCAGAGACATACTCTTCTCTACCCCAGCTTCCTAACACTGTTTTTACTATGGTTTCCCTTTTTGGTCCTCGGATTTCTTTTAAACTCTCTTCACACATATCTTTTACTAATACTACTACCACTACTACCACCACTACTATTATTAATTAATTAAAAACATGGAAAAACTTTGAAAATTAAAAACAAAATTAATGCGATCAAAATAAAATAAAATATTCATTTTTTCTGAAAACAATTGCCAATGCCATTCATTACTTCTATTTATTCTAGGCATAGGTCAAAATTTTTATGTAAGAAAAATACCAGTGAAGCATAAATGGGCTGAAACAGATTAACTATTTTGCTGAAAAAATAAATTCTACAAACTTGAAATAGGACTAGTAAATTGTGTGCTATGTTGAATATCGACATGTACATATTTGGGTTCCAACATTTTTTAATTTGTGTATAAATAGCTTCATAAGTAGCTTGCAAAGCATATGGTAAATAAATTATTTATAAAGCACAATCAAGCCAACTCAAATACTTCAGAACCACAATTCTAATTATATATCATGTTTTTAAGGCAGTAAGAAGGAAAGACATCTTGGTCATCCAAAGAAAGCACCAGCAGTTCAGAGTATTTATACCTGTGTTTTGTTTTGTTTTGTTTTCCTATGCCTTTTATTGGAAGATAATTTCCAAGTATCTGTGAGAAATAACGTGCTATAATAACACTTTTAATGAGTTTTTATGTATTTTAACTTTATGTTTAGCAAATAATGTCAAAAACAGAAACAAAATATATATTGATTTCATGAAAATAACCAGGTCAATGAAAGAAAACGGTGCTTGAATGATATTCCGAAGCTTCCCCACTTCACGGAGTCAGGAATTAAAATCAGGTCTCCTGAGTTTATTTCCAGTGTTCAACCACTGGTTTGCTCACCCCTGTGCAAAACACCCACGCATAGCGTGCACCTCATAACCCCCCTGGCTGTCGAGTGGTTGTCAAAAGAAACAGGCCATTACCTTTCCCACGTACTGCGGTTCAGAGCCCATGTACTCCTCCAGCACGAAAAACTGATTCCACACCCAGCCACGCTTAACTCGCTGGAAATGCGATCGCTGCCCTGACAGGTGGATAACATTTTCCCTGGGCTCTGTGGCTAACGTTCGTTGTAGCGGCGGTTGAAGTGGTGTTAGGAGACCTCCATCAAACAGGACCCAGAGAAGCAGGGATAAGCAGTTCCTTGTAAGCATTGGCAAAGGCTTTCCTACCGCCGGTAATGCAAACTCCAGCACTTAATGCGGAATTGTGGAATCCAGGCTGGAGGTGTCTGTGGCCTCCACCGCTGAGCGCTCTGTTTTACTGCAGAAATGGTAATGCCGGCATTAATCCTTCTGATGGAAAGGTTTCTGCAGTTTTATATTCCATCTAAAGGAGCCTGTAAAATAGATTAACAAAGATGCATTAAATTGATAGAATTACATTATCGACATTGAAACTCTCATTTTATCTGGCAACGTTTGAAAAAGAGAGGAAGGATTTTAAAAAATTATACTGATAAATCTTTATTGTTACTCGACCTGTAACTTTAATAAACTAAGCATTTTGCAAATTTGAAAAAGTCTTGGTTACAATGAGGCAAAAGGTGTATCATAAACAGAAGCAATCTGGTTTTTTTTTAATCATTTTAGGAATAAAACAGGGATCAGTGGTTTTAAAGCGAACTAAGTAAGGTTTTGCAACCTTAGCACTGTGGACATTTTGGGCCGGATAATTCTTTGCTACTGGGGAGCTATCTTGTCCATTTATGATTTTTTGAAGAATCTCTTTTCCTTTAGTCAATAGATAACAAAATAGCATCCTCTCCACGACAAAAATACCTATAGACATTGTCAAATATCTCCCTGGAGGAATAAAACAGGCCAAGATGGAGAACCACAGATTTAGAGAACAAGGAAAAAAGAAAACAATTTTTAAAAAGCAAAAGATTTCCTACTAAATAATACAAAGAATAAGAGATGTGATGGGAAAAAGATAGATTACTAATTATAAAAGTAAATGATCTTGATACAATATGAATGATTAATAAATTATTAGATGGCTTTACAGGCTTTAAGTTACAATTTTTTTCTCTAGCCTTGGTGTAACAGAAACCCTGGATACCTGGGATTATTTTGTAAATGGATTCCCTCTCAGGGCGACCTTGTTTCTCTACCAGGTGGACACCCTCTCCTTTGCATTTAGGTAAAATGAGCTTTGAACATCACTTGATAATGTTAGGGGCTAAGGGAAATAGTCTTAAGAAAACTAAGTTGTTTGTTCAACCTTAGCTGCTTGCTCAAGCTTGGATGGGGGGACTGCACCCCCACCCCCACCCCCGGGCAAATGTTCCAGGAAGTTAAGCAGATAGCTTCTTGGAACATCCGTTGGGGGGGGGGAAATTTTTACCCCTAGCATGAGCCCCTGAGCCAATGGCTAACCTGAGCATGAGCTGTTCATGAGTCCTGCCAGCCAATCATCAGCAAGATCACGAGCCCTAGCATAAGCCCCTGAGCCAGTAGCTAACTGCCACCTTTTGCTTCTGGAAGTTGCTTGCTTGCTCGCTTCTATAGAACCCTAGCCTGTAAGTGCCAGGCGCGACTCTCATTTGCAGCCATTTTGGCACTCTTTTTTTTTTTTTTTTAAACTTTTTAGGCACCCCGAGAGTTCGCCCCTGCGCAGGTAAAACTTTGAAACTTTGGCCAATAAAACACCTCTGACTACCCAGCAGTCTCCAACCCTTCTTGCTCGACCCTTCTTTCTCGCAAGGACGGGAAGTAACAATAACAAACATTTGTTTTTCATTCATTTACCTAAGGTTCACTGAGCACCTACACTGTACTAGGTCATTTGTTATATAGTAGATAAGAAAATAGACACAATCACTGCCTCTCCTAAATCAGAAACAGAGAACAAACTGACAGTCAAATAAATAGATGAGGGCAAATTTGCCACTGCTGTGAAAATGAGCACATGGAACATGCTGATGCAAAACTGAAGTTAGTAAACTAATCACATACAATTAAAAATTCAACTCTGAATGCTTCATTTTAAACTATGTAATGAAATGTTTTAAAGTTAACTCCTGTGTTCAAGTAATAAAAGTAGAAAACTAGGAATTGTAAATATATAACATAATTAACAAACTTCATCATTCAAAGTTAAAACTTGATGATTTCTGTTAGCTTAAAAATGCATGTTTTTTCTTGTCATCATTCAAAATATGGAGAAGAAAAAAATGAAACCTTTTGCATTCTGTTTTCATGACGGAATACAGCTGACATCACAGATACCACTTCCTTCAACCCAAATCTGACTGTTTCGGGGTGTGTCGTTGTCAAAAGCAACACAAATAAAGAATTTGATACATGTTAAAGAAAAAGTTAACAAACTAATTTTGGTAAAAGCCTGTCATGGGTGACAATTACATTGAGAATTACAGGGATGGGAGTGTCCCTGTATTTTGCAAGCAGGCAAGGGACAAGCATTTCTTGAACCAGGGTGACTTTGTACATTTACCACTGGAAGCACAATGCCCTCAGCCCAGGAGGTTTTCAAAGGCCAAAAATGCTGGAGGCCAGAAATTATATATAATGCTCCCAAAAGAAGAGAACTCAAGTCAAATCAATACACGTTTAATTAAACATCTATAAAGCATGTCATTTTGTTCACCTGTCAGATGCAATTAAATTCATAACTGAATGTTTATTCAGTTACATATAATATAATAAAAATTACAATACACTCTTCACAAATATTCACATGTCAGCATTTAATGGGGTAGCAATTCCCTGTGCTTGAGATAAGATGGTGTATCATAAACAGAAGCAATCTAGTATTTACAGAAATATTTACTATTGTTTTATTCTTGCAAGGATTTTAATAAGATGTGAAGTGGGGTGGGTTCAGAAGTTATACTCCAAAAGTATTCTATAATGGTGTTCCCAAGAAGAGAAATAAAATAATAATACATGGTAGTTACTTTTTTCCCCTTTTTAAAATTGTTGTTCAATTACAGTGGTCCTGATTCCCCCCAGCCCGTGTTTGCTGTCCCCTGCTCCCTCCCATTCCTACCCTGCTGTACGTTACTATGGGTCCTTTATACATGGTAATAAGGATCCTTGCCTAGACCCTTACCCTTTTTTCTTTTATTTTCCCTCTCCCCTCTCCCCTCTGGTCACTGTCAATTTCTTCTTTATTTCCATGTCTCTGGTTCTGTTTTGCTTATTTGTTTTTGTCCATGGTATTTTTATAGTCTTAAAGGATGTAACTTTTAGACAAAAACATAAGTAAGGTATGTATTTACTGCATCTCTTCACTCTGGAGAATTAATGTTCGTAAAAGTTAACTTTGGCCTATTTGTCTAATATAGTGACCACTAGACATATGTGGTTATTTAGTTGAAATTCAGCAATTTGAAAATGAGATGTTCTCTGCTCTCAAATTGTGTAACAAAATTCAAAGACTTAGTACAAAAAATGAGAATTTAAAATGTCTTTTCCTGGCTGCTGTGGCTCAGTGGATTGAGTGCTGGCCTGCAAACCAAAGGGTCGCTGGTTCAATCTCCAGTCAGGGCACACGCCTGGGTTGTGGGCCAGGTCCCCAGTAGGGGGCGCACAAGAAGCACCTGCACATTGATGTTTTCTTCCCTCTGTTTCTCCCTCCCTTACCCTCTTTAAAAATAAGTAAATAAAATCTTAAAAAAATAAAATGTCTCATTATTCATTTCTATATTTATTACTTGGGGCATGATGATATTATGTTAAATATTAACTATTAAATTAATTTTATCAATTTAAAATGTTTACTTTTTAAGGTGTTTACTAGAAAAAAATTAAATTATATACCTAGCTCATACCTGTGGTTTCTAATATTATATATTGAACAGTACTGGTTTAAACAATAAAGTTTAAGTCACAAACTGTGATTTCTACTTAAGTGATTTATTGTTTTTTGTTGTTGTAAAACAAGGTTTATTCTGCTATACCTTATCATGATAAATTACATCTCTTTGGTAAAAATAAATTTTATAAACATCTTTGTAATCAGAGGTTATTGGCATTCAGATGAAATGTCAAACATGAACTGCATCTGTGTGATGGCATATTTAAGAGGTTACAGAATATTTGCAACTATTTTTAATAAGCCTGTGTGAGCACACTGTGCATATTTCCCTCATCTGTTTTCAAGTTTATGTTGCTAACGTGACATCCAATATGTTAGTGTCTTCCATGCTTCTTCCTCTACTTTTTTCAGTCCTACCTCAGGCAAGCTCAGACGCATGGGGAGAAAATTACCAATAGAAAAGATGGAGGCTAGAACTTGAACTGCCCAAACATAGTCTAACATAGAAAACAAATTAGATTGTTTTTGCTTTCCTGTTCCATGAAAATTTTCTCGAGTTTTTTTATGTAAGATATCAAAAATCAGATATTAAAGACATTGACACCTAATGTAAATTCTCTAACTTAGTGCCTTCTTATTTTATAGTAGAAATTACCAGTATTGTACATCTGGCTGTATTCATCATTACTGTCACCATCTGATTCTAGTTACCCTTTCCCTGTTGGATTCAAAGGTGTCTAAAATCTGAGTTTTGATTCCCTACTAGAGTAATCTTTCAGAAACTCTGATCTATCCATGTCATTCCCCACCTATGATGCTACAATGGGTGTCTCCAATGTCAGGGGATTCATTTACAAATGACTGGTAAGTAGACAAGAATGTGAGCATAACATGGAAAGCATGTTGTTTCTTAAGCTAATTTCCCAGCATATCAAAGAGTTGCATCACCAAACGCGTCAGCCACACACAAAATACTGTAATAAGGCTCAAGTTAATGGGAGCCACACGGGAGTACAGCATGGAATGCAATTCCCATTCCCTCACGTCCACATTCTGCTCCTTCCTTTGTCTCTCTTTGGACACACACTCCATCTTAGCATGTTGTGTTCTCCGCTTTGTGTCTACATTTCTCTGTGCTTCCTTCCCTAAGAAGGCCGATCCTCACTTATCTGTGCCACCAAATTACTTTTCCCATTTCTTTAAAATATAATCTTATATTTATAGAAATATTTATCAGTGGATTACTCTTGCTTAATATATTCATTAGGGTGATGATTGCTAAGGAGTAATCGCACAGGTTTTGGGATCTGCACAGAGCCTTACTCTTTTTTTTTTTTTCCATGAGAGCTTCTATTTTAATGTGAATTCTGCAGAATGAAAGGGTTTTTAGGGACCCACATATCACATTGCAGAAAAAAATCTGTAATTAAAAATGTAGACTTTTCTTTTCACTGCACACTGGGGATTTAATGTATAGCACAGGGACTGTAGATAATAATATTGTATTATATATTTCAATGTTGTTAAGTGAAAAGATGTTAAAGTCCAGGATTT